CTCGTCCTGTCACTGGTTGCCCGGGAGAAGAGCCCGACCCCCACCTGATTGCAACCTCCCTTCAGGCAGTTGTGGAGAGTGAGAAGGTCCCCCCTGAGTCTCCTCTTCTCCAGGCTAAACACCCCCAGCTCCCTCAGCCTCTCCTCACAGGACTTTCCCTCCAGTCCCTTCCCCAGCCTCGTTGCTCTCCTCTGGACCTGCTCCAGCACCTCAGTGTCTTTCTTGCAGTGAGGGCCCAGTTACAGGTGTGAAGACTTCAGTTCAAATCAAATCCTGTCAGAGGCAGAGGGGGCCATGTGCCACCCCACGGCAAGTTACAGATACGTACGTGTGTAACACAGGGCTCTGGGGACCAGCAGTGTATTATATCTACTTAGAGAGAGAAACTCCTCCACTGGTGCGTAGGTAATGCCGAGTTCAGAGAGGTCCATGTGTCCACGTATTTGAGACAGAAAGATGGAAAAGCAGCCAGCACTTACAGAATCATAGAACGTGTTGGGCTGGAAGGAACCTTTAAATGTTATTGCGTCCAATCCCTCTGCAGTGAGTAGGGACATCTTTAACTACATCAGGTTGCTCAGAACTCTGTCAAGCCTGACCTTGAATGGGGCCTCCACCACCTCTCTGGGCAACCTGTGCCAGTGTTTCATCACTTCTTCTGACTCCCCCATCAGTCTTCCTTACCCCAGCATCAGCTGCTGCAGTAAAGAGACAGGAGGGAGCACGGTGGGAGCAATTTGGGCTCCAGGAAATTATAGGGAAGAGGGGGTTACAAAGGGAAAAGCTCTCCAGCAGTTATTACCTGAGGAGAGCCTTTGTCCCTGTCCCTCAAGGTGAAGAGAGGACTGCTCGTGGTCGCAACATGCTCCCACCCAGGCTCAGTGGGAGCCTGGATGCGGCAGCATTGCACACAACCGCAGAGCATCATTTCTCTCTTACCAAATTAATGAACCGCTGTTCATTAATTAAAAGGGGAGATCAAACAGAACAAAGAAATAGCCCATCTATTCTTACCCAAACATGGCCCTGCTACCAATACCATGTGACTGCTCAGTTTACATCGGACTTAAATTACCTAAACATTAGTTTCATTGGTTAGACACACAGCAAGATTGTTTCCTTAACTCCACAGATACAGCATTGTGTCTAGATGCACAAATACCTAAAAAAAAAAAGTTATGCAGCTAAGCAAGTAGGCCTGTCCCCTCTGTGTTACCAAAAGACAAACTTCACATCAGCAATGAGGTATAAATACAATAGCCAGCTTTTACTTTCACGGTTAACATTGGGCCACAATTATTCCTTCTGCACAGAATCTTGTCACATATTACTTGCATCTCAAAACACAAAATATCATAAAAAAAATCAAGTTACATTAATCAAATGGTTTGAAACTTTAATTGAGATCCATGTTTGTTTTGCAACAGTTTCTCAAAGGCTATGATGAAACACGAGAATCATTTTGAACGAGACTAAATAAAAGCAAAAATCATAGGAAATAATTCTGTATTTGGAGAAGACTGAATAGAAAAGCCTAATTTTAACTAAGAACTATGCAATTACCAAGAGCACTAGGGAATGTCCCGGCAAAAATTCTTCCCTTCAGTTAAGGCTTTGAAAAGAAAGTTTTTCAGAAGTGTGGAGCACCTCTAATCTCATGGTAATAATTGAGAATCAGAAGTCCTTAGCATCCTTGAACACAAAGATAGACAATTATTCTCTAAACAAATCTAACTTTACAGTAAAAAGCTACTAATTTTATTAAAAATGAGACTGATTCTTACCACTGGGAGCTGGCACTGTAATTGCCAGTCCCACAGTTGTTTCTAATTTATTGGATAAAACAAATAATGCAACATTTCACAGTTGGTATTGTTTTATTGTCTAATATTGATTAAATTATTTACACTTCTACTTCTCAATCCACAGTTTAGCACTCATACCTATGGCTTTTATGTTTAGCACACCTTTCTGTCAAGTGTCAGAATTTCATTTAAAAAACCATGAACCTGATACCACATAGGCAAGCATCCTTTTTATGTCTAAACATACAAATCACCATTTCTGAAAATGCATAAAAGAAGAGTCTGCTGGTAGCCTTCTTCCAGCTCACGTTTACCACAGATTCTACTGAGCTTTTCCTATTTTGAAGTGACCCTTTTAGAGTGTTCTGCTTCCTCCATGTGAAATGCTTCCTCCCTCAGCCCCCTATCCCCAAATTTAATGCAAAAAAAATATAAATCAGTAGCTGGGCATTTTAAGCAAAAATATAAAGCACTATAACATTACCTATATAGCCTTTTATTGAACTACCTTCTTAAACGGTGTAGGAACTTTGTGGAAATTTAACCAGTGTTGAAAAGGCACAGGATTGCTGTGCTCTGAGATCTCCAGCAACAATGTTTTTCCGCAGCCTGAAAGTTCAGGACCACTGTTAGGACACAGCAAACAGTGTGATCCAAAAATTCACAGGTACCCAATTGCTACTTACAATAGAACCCAACAGATTTTACTGATTCTTCTGTCACAGACATCCTGCAAATCTAACAAGTGTTTGCTTCTCTTGCAAAAGTAAAAGAGACAAAGTTACTCTTACATACACTCAAGCATGGTGTAAAAATAACACGTTACCCATAACTAAAATCCCCACATTACCCATAACTAAAATCCCCACAAAACCATCTGTGTCCATAGTAGTTTCTGTTCCATGGTATTACACAAATGGGAAAGTTATTTTTCACATACAAGAGAAGTTTAGTTGTACATGAAGAAAGCTAAATTTGGTCCACTCGACCAGCTTCCTAAGGACAGCATAATGGAAAGGTGACCACTGTCGCTTAAAAAAAGTTAAAAAATAATTTGGTATTTCATTCCTAAACCTGCACAGTGTTATTTGTCCTAGTCATCCACCTTTTCATTCTGCGTGTCCACTAACTGTTGAGTTTTTAAGTCTTCAGCTTGTTCATGATCTTCCTTATCTGCACCATCTGCTTGATTAGGTTCCTTTTCTTCTGCTTCTCCTTGATCAACACTTTCATATTCTACTTGTTCAATGTCTGTTCTGTCTATAAGTTCTGCCTGTACTTCTTCCATCTGTATCTGATTTACATGCTCAACATGTAACTGCTCCACATGAACTTCGGCACCTTGTTCAGTCTGAATGTGTTCAACCTCCAAGTAACTAATCTGCACCTGTTCTTGCAGTTCCTCCATCGGTGTGCCTTTCACTTGACTGTCCTGTATGAGATCCTGGTGCATCTGTTCCACAGTTACCTGTGCAGGATCCACTTGTACCTGAATTACTGGTAGGACATGGACTTGCTCCACTTGTTCTATTATAGTCATTGAGGTTACTGGCTCAGCTTCCACTGGAAGAACCTCCTCTGTCACTAGTCGTTCTGAAATATTGTGCATTTCTTTGAGATGCCTTCTCAGCTCACTGCCTTGCATAAACCACAAATCACATAAAGTACAGTGGTTGGGTTTGTCACCGGTGTGTATTACCAAGTGATCTTTGAATTGATCCCAGCTGTTAAATACACTGTTACAAACCTGAAACAAAAGATACAGTATGTTAAACAGTGCCAACAGAAATATGACAAAACATAGCGTCTACTTCAGATCACAGCTTCCCACAGTGCATCTTCTTGCTACTTGGATTAAAACCACATATATGTTAGAGGTAAAAGCTGAAAACTCAGCTTCAGATGTACAGATGACTTGATATTTACTTATTTGTTTTTAAGAAACAGCGTGCTCCTTTGAGCTGTGCATACGTACAAAATTTATGAGTCAGCACAACATTTCAAAGTTTTACTATTTTAACCTTACATGAGATCCATGTACAGTATCAAGCCCCAACAGATGACTGGTGCTAGAGTTATGGGGGGAAAGCTATCTATGTAACAGCACTGTACAATGAAAGTGTAACACAAGCTGTCCTTCTGCTAAAGTTCTAGATGCAGTACTACTACCCAGCTTCCTTATCAGCTGTCACTGGCTCATGATATTGTGAGGTTTAACTGGATAGTTTTAAAAAAAAATCCACCCGAGTGGCTTCAGCAACTAAAAGTATCCTAAAACCCCACCCCTTTAATTTTCTTCCTGTTAAAAGTACTGCTTCAACTACAGACACACAATTTTCACAAAGTGCATAAGCACACTTCCTACCCCAGTGCTAAGTAGCCAGAAAACACCACAGAGACTGCTGAAATGAATAAGGTGCTGAGGTAAACCAGAGTGAAGTGTAGGGTAGTGTCAGGCTGGAATTAAACAAACAGGCTCAGGAGTCTGTCCATGCAACGTTCTTGCCTGCAGAAAGCAAGGAAACGTTTCAACATCCCTTCACTACTGACAAATCATTTTGAAACAACACGTTCCATCTCTTCCTGATTTTCATCAACAGCACAGAAGGATGATAGAGTGTCTGACAGGGATTAACTCAAGAACAGGTCTGTGAAGTGGAGCTAAACGTCTAAATTTTGATGTTGAAGTCTGTCAAAATGGGTTTGTGATGCTAGTGCAATGTTTTTTTGACCCTGAGAGGCTCATGCTTTAGAAAGAAGTTGCACATACACTTCTTATAATACTAATCTTAGAAATAAGCACCGCAAAATTACTTAGTCATACAGAAAGATAATAACTGTTGGTAATGCCCAGGCATATAATTATCGTTCTTGCCACGTGGAGCCTAATTCAATACTCTCACACTCCCTCAGCACGGGAAGGAGGTACCTCAGCTGAGACTCTGCTACTTCCATTACCCACCTGACATTCGTACAGCTTCTTTCTTCCCTTTTTAGCTCCAGCTCCAGACTGACAAGCCGTCAGGTGACATTTGAGTGTGCTATTCCTAGCAAAACGTTCATGGCAGTTGGGACATTCAAATGGTTTTTCACCTGTTAAGACAGACACAGGGATTTGTAAGGGTTTACCTAAAACTGTGCAGGTTGATAAATACTTTGTAAAGACACGGCCAACTGGATTATTCTACAGAATAAGAGAAAGACATTCTAAGTAAACTTTATTTATGTAAATAAAAAGGCAAAACTTGTCAGAGTCATAACTCTGATTTAGAAAAAAAAATGTAATAATTACCAGTGCCTTTTAAGGTACATTTAAGTTTTAATGGAAATTAGATTACTATTCTGACAAAATATCTCAAAGAAATAGTAGCTATTTCTCTCTTATCAGCTGATACTACTTACAATTAAAGAAATCACAATGAGTAAATACACAAAGCGACACATTAAAAGAGAGTAGTATTCAAACAATACAAAGTTTTATATCCAAGAACAACAACAGCTTATGCTTGAGAGCTGAAAAAGAGCTCCGGAAAAAGAAGTTGACATGGAATGACCACAAAATAACAATGTATCAATATTAAAACAAACAAACAACACTGTCTCCCAGCCCCAAACAGTGAAGAAAAAGCACAGAGAAACATAAATAGGCACAAGCAAGATAAAATTTCCTTTTAGTTTGGCCATTTCATTTCAAACCTGGTTCCAAATACAAAAGCCAGCTAAGGACAACAGTAGGTGTAGCTGAAACTGGTGGTTTTCTCTTTTTCATCCAAAGTAGTATATTATTATTACTGCAATCAAGTAGTAACAAAGAACAACTGGTGTCTCTCCCTACTAATTCCACCATGCACAAACACAATGAAATCCAAAGAAATTAAAGTACAAAAAAACAAGGAACAGCCTGTTTCTTCTGAAAGTCTGGTAATTAATCTGCAGAGGTACTGACACCAACATCACTGCTGAAACAAATGGTTTAATGAACTCTGAAAGAGGCTGAGGCGTTTATCATAGAATCATTCAGGTTGGAAAAGACCCTTGGGATCATCAAGTCTGACCATTAACCCCACTCTGTAAACTCACCCCTAAACCATATCCCCCAACACCACGTCTAAATGACCTTTAAACACATCCAGGGATGGTGACTCAACCACCTCCCTGGGCAGCCAGTGGCCCCCCCCCCCCCGCCCCAGCCTATTCCAGTGCCTGATGACTCTTTCTGTGAAAACATTTTTTCCTCATGTCCAGTCTAAACCTACCCTGTTTTAGTCTCTTGTTCTACTGCTAATTACCAGTGAAAAGAGACCAGCACCAACCTCTCTACCTTCCTTTTAGGTAGTTGTAGAGAGTGTTGAGGTCTCCCCTTAGCCTCCTCTTCTTCAAACTAAACAGCCCCAGCTCCTTCAATCACTCCTCCTAAGGTTTATTCTCGAGGCCCTTCACCTGGTCCGTTGCCCTCCTCTGCACTTGCTCCAGCCCCTCAATATCTCTCTTGTACCGAGGTGCCCCAAACTGGACACAATACTCAAGGTTGTGGCCTCACCAGTGCTGAGTACAGGGGGACAATCACCTCCCTACTCCCGCTGGTCACACTTTTCCTGACACAGGCCAGGATGCCGTTGGCCTTCTTGGCCACCTGGGACAGTGCTGGCTCAAGTTCAGCCACTTGTTGATTAGAGCCTCCCAGGTCCCTCTCTGCCAGGCAGCTCTCCTTCCACACTTCCCTAAGCCTGTAGCGCTGCTGGGGGTTGTTTTGGCCCAAGTGTAGGACCTTGCACTTGGCCTTGTTGAAGCTCATACCGTTAACATTGGCCCGTTGATCCAATCTGTCCAAGTCTCTCTGTAGGGCCTCCCTACTCTCATTCCGACAAACATTTCCACTTAACTCGGTGCTGTCTGCAAACTTAATGCTTATGCACTCTATGTACTTATCAAGACCATCAATAAAGATCTTAAACAGAAATGGTCCCGACACTGAGCCCTGATATAATATATAGGTGTATATATGTAACATATATATATAAAATACATACATATAATAACCTATCCTAGCTGGTTTAAGAATATGCATTTTCAGGAATGCAGTAGTTACTGATCATAGAGATGGAAAGCTGATAAACCCATATTTTCATAAATGAAGGTATTCAGGAGTTCCCAACTAGGTTTGCAAAAGAAATCCACAGGTAGCCTGTAGTTCTCACACATCTAAATGGTAAATGGTGGGAATGCTCCCCGTAATAGCTACAAAATGGTATGGTTTTGGAGACTGTTGTACATGTAGCACAAAGAATGTTGAACTGCCATCAGTCTTCCAGGTCAAAGCCATGGACTTCACCCAAGGAACCAATGGATACTACAGAGCAAATCTCACATCACAGATCTTCACTGTGCTGTGGTCTGGTCACATTTAAAGAATTACTTGCAGCAAGACACCATTGAGAAGCAGATTTATTCCATTCTTACTCAAATTCTTCAGTAAACTCCAACATACTCTGCTGAAAGTGTCTGAAAGTGACAACTCAAAGATAATGGTAGTAATGCCCAAAGGCCACTGTCTGGCTTCTTCCACAGTGCAGATCAAGGCTGTGACTCTGGCTGCACCAGCCACAGCAGTGATGGAAAGTGCAGTGAGTGTGCCAGCTGCCTTCAAGAAACATGCTGGCAAGCTGGGGTCTAAACTACAGTGCTAAAGGGGTCAACTTGCTTGTCCTCCTTCATGTGCTCCCCACCTATAAGTTTAGTCCCATCTAAGTGAGAGTTTATGAAGAGGGAGCTTTTTGGGCCGATTTAATGATTATCTTCAGCTAAGTTTATGAGAATGAGTGATACTTCACTTGCTAACTGCAAGTAACTCACAGAACTGAAATTCTGACCTGAGATAGTTCAATCGTGTGCTGGTCCTTTATAATCTCACAGTCATGGGGAGGAGACTGCCTCAAATAAATATTTTTTAACCCCAGAAATTCATAATGACTAGCACAGTGAATTTGTGTAATACATCAGAATATCAGGGAATTCAACCATAACCATAAAGCCACCATATCATTATTTAGATTGGGTTTAGAGAAATAGTAAACATAGTAGCTATTTTTTTTTCCACAAACACACCAAATGCAGGCATTAAGAAATATTCAGCAGTCAAAATTTTTAGTAAAATCAGAGGGAATCCACGCTGTTCCATGTCTCTTTCTGTTAATGAATATATGCTTTGCAAAGTATTTGGATTACACCAGCATGTTGAGACCAGTAGCTTCATTCAGAGATTGATTTCTGTATGAGGAAATTGTTCTTCTCAGGTAAGACAAATTAGAGCTCTTCAATTTAATGGCATACATTACTTAAGTGCAATTTTGCAGAATTTGTCCTGTGTCTTACTTATGACTGGCAAATGAAATCTCATCCGTGTCTAATACATAGGAAAAAAAAATAATTACATCAGACCAAACCCCTTCCCTCTTTACAAATTCTAGACATGACTTTATTACTTTCAGAGTTACATGACACGCAAGACATTTTTGAGGTATTTTTTTAGAGACTCAGAAGCTGCTTAAGGCACCATACACATGAATGAGAAAGAAACTCCATGGCTCTCCCTCCTTTCTTTTACTGAGACAAAGGTAATAGGCATTAGTAATGTCAAATTCCTACATCAAAAAGAATTACCAACACTTATAAGGTATCTATCTGTGCCCCAATTGCTAGTTCCATGTTATTGCTGGTGATTTGATTAAGAAACAACAGGACCAAATAAATGGAAGGACAGTCCTTCCAGGCTTTTTTATTTCATTTTAGCATTGAGCCAGTGAAGTATCTCTTTTGATCTTAAGCTTAAGGCCTTTGAAAATGCTAAACCAGATGTAATTAGACTCCATGTGTTACACTTGTGTCAATATATACTTAGAAAGTACTCTGTATATCCTGTGACAGGCTAAGTTACTTTGTCCCCCAAATCCTTCATCATTAACAGCAACCAACATACAGAGATATTTAGGTTATTCTGTTAATCTGCCACAATTTTTATCTGAAAAGACTTCTGTTAAGGAGCTTGTATTTGGATTCATAATGGAGGAACATCCCCTGCCCTCATAGGGTATAAGGATTTGCCAAAGACTATTTATAAACAGATCTTTTATAGGGGCTATTGGGAATAGACTGGACACTCGCCAACTCCATGAAGTTTAACAAGACCAAGTGCAAGGTCCTCCCTCTGCGTCGGGGCAGTTCCAAGCACCGATATAGCTGGGCAGTGACTGGCTTGAGAGAAGCCCTGAAGAGAAGGAATTGGAGGTTCTTGTGGACAAAAAGCTCAGCATGAGCCGTCAGTGTGCACTTGCAGCCCAGAAAGCCAATCGCGTCCTGGGCTGCATCAAGAGGTGCGTGGCCAGCAGGTCGAGGGAGGTGATTCTCCCCCTCTGCTCCACACTTGTGAGACCCCACCTGGAGTCCAACTGCAGCCAGTTCTGGAGCCCACAGCACAAGAAAGACACGGACGTGCTGGAGCGTGTCCAGAGAAGGGCCACGAGGATGATCAGAGGGCTGGAGCACCTCTCCTGTGAAGACAGACTGAGAGAGTTGGGGCTGTTCAGTCTGCAGAAAAGCAGGCTCCAAGGAGACCTTATTGTGGCCTTCCAGTATCTCAAGGGGGCTACAAGGAAGCTGGTGAGGGGCTTTTTAGGATGTTGGGTAGTGATAGGGCTAGAGGG